GCGAAAGACCCAAATAGGACACCCCACCGAGGCTGGCTCACTCGCGAGTACTATAGAAAACCAGTTTTACTGTGGCGCCCGTATTCGCACCCCATGTACTGCAGCAAACTAGTCCATCCATGTTGAGTCCAATTTTTCCCAAGGGGTAATGTAGCGAAGCAGTTCCTGTAGCAGACCGTACTGTAGCACCGAATTTAGAATTTTTTGTGAACATGCTTTTGGGAAAAATCAAACTTTTTTTGGGAAAAATTGATTTTTAACTTTGACCATATTTAAAGAAACATATTTTGAAATTATTTCAAGATTCTGAACAATTAAAAAACATGATTTGTTTGAAATTCTCAAACATTTTTTGAAAACATGAATTTTTTAAAACAATCAGAATAACGTGAACATTTTTTGAATTCCTGAACATTTGTTTAATATGTGAAGACATTTTGAAAAGAGGAGCATTTTCTGAAAAGCGCAAGCATTTTTGAAATTCCTGTTTTTTCAATCATGAACTTTTTTTGATTGGTGATTTTTTTAAACGAGGCCATTTTTTGAATTTCTGATTTTTCTTGGAAGAAAAGAAAATACAAACAAAAAACCTAAGAAAACAAGTAAAAAAGAAAGGCAGAAAAGGAAAAAAATCAGAAGAAAATCCGGTAAATGAAACAGCTTTTTTTGGTGGAAAAGGGGAAAAACAAAAGACCAGTATAAAATAGACGGTTAATGGCCGGGCCCAACTCACATTGGCTGCCTATCGTCCTTCCTGTGAATCCCCAGCTATCTGACGTGGGAGCCCCTATATCTCAAGAGCAACTAATTAACGAGCGCTCCTTCGGGAGCCTCGCAACGATCAGCGCCACTTGGCGCGCTCACAGCTCACCCGCCACGTGTCGCACTCTGGACGCTTCCTTTGAATATATTTTTTATTTTTTCGCGCGCATTTTTGGCTTTTTAAACGTTTTTTTTTGGTTTATTTTCATGTTTCGGTTTTCCACCGGTCTTCCAGAACTTTTGGACCCCAAAAAATTCAAAAAAACATTTTGTGAAAAAATGTGTTTTTTTTCTTTCGCGAGAGCCACGATTTTGCTTTCGCGAGAGG